GCACTGCACTGCACACCCATCACCCCACCGTATGTAGAAATATGTGCACTGCACTGCACACCCATCATTTCACTGTATGTAGAAATATGTGCACTGCACTGCACACCCATCACCCCACCGTATGTAGAAATATGTGCACTGCACTGCACACCCATCACCCCACCGTATGTAGAAATATGTGCACTGCACTGCACACCCATCACCCCACCGTCTGTTAAAATATGTGCACTGCACTGCACACCCATCATCCCACTGTATGTAGAAATATGTGCACTGCACTGCACACCCATCACCCCACCGTATGTAGAAATATGTGCACTGCACTGCACACCCATCACCCCACCGTATGTAGAAATATGTGCACTGCACTGCACACCCATCATCCCACTGTATGTAGAAATATGTGCACTGCACTGCACACCCATCACCCCACCGTATGTAGAAATATGTGCACTGCACTGCACACCCATCACCCCACCGTATGTAGAAATATGTGCACTGCACTGCACACCCATCATCCCACTGTATGTAGAAATATGTGCACTGCACTGCACACCCATCACCCCACCGTATGTAGAAATATGTGCACTGCACTGCACACCCATCACCCGGTGGTATGTTAAACCCCCGTTGCTCCCAAGCGTCTGCCACGTCCTCGAGCGCCGGGAGGTTCTCTGCCGCACCGCGCACCGCCCACGGTACAGTAGGGCCCCAGCCACACCGCGGCGGGAACACTGAGCGTGGCCGAAGCTCGGAGCTGGAATCACGCGCCACCGCAGGCAGGACGTCTAATGTTTTACCGCTACTTTTTATTTCTGCTAAAGCAGGCCGCATACATGTCCTTGATGTGCCCGCACCCTTGACACTTCGCAGTGTGTGTGTATGCGTGCGTGCGTGTGTACAATTTTCTTTAATCCATCAAAAGGGTTTTCGTCTTTGAAAGTCTAAGTGAACAGCTGCCTTCAGCTGAGGCACATTAAACTTTCTGACAGGCACAAGGACTGCGGTCCCCGGGGGCCAGCACTTTCCTCTGCAGAGCCGTCTCCTCTCCTGACACTCTGGGAGAAATTGGCCCTCTCCCTGCATTCGTTACGGATAAAGGAGCCCAGAAGCGTCTGCTCGTTTGCTTCCTAATAGAGCAGAGATGGGCTGGTGACGAATGACGTCGGCAGCGCTCCCTTTGGAAGTAAAGAATCTTGCTAAGGGGTCTGAGAATTCGTCTAGCTCGGCCCTTACAAACCGGAGAAACTGATTGGATAAGCAATTGCAAAGGAAAAGCACATTTTCCACGGTTTCTGTTGGCCACGTGAGGGATGTTTTCCTTGAAAACTGTTTTAAAAATCAGTTGTAAGTAAATAGTGGGCTCATTTCTAATCCTGGATAAAAAAGGAAGGAATAGCAAATAATAAAATAAATATTACGTGAGCTTTATGTATATTAAGGACTGTAATTATTCAGTCGTTCGGTAGATACTGCAACATAGTTTCTTGAGCTCAATCTATGCCTTTATGATAGTTCTTAAAATAGACACTACTGCATAGTATGGCAATTGATATGTCTTTTGTTAATTATGGTGCTTTTGCAGAGAGAACTCTGCCTAAAATCAAACTCCTTAGAATTGAACTTATTCTCTGTTTTTACCATCACTAATAATTAAGGAACTGCTTGGTTACTTCAAAAGGTTGTTTTTTGGGGGGTGGGAGGGTATACATTTTTTACTTTTAGGAAATATACTATATTTTCATATTTAATTCCTTTTATTAAATTCAAAATTCAATTGAAGAATTGATAGTCATGTAATTACCTGGATCAACTGATTTTGATGTTTGATATTTTTCTTCTTAATACAGGAAGGAAATATTTCAGTTCAGTCCCAGCACATCTTGAGGCTGAAGGAGTATCCCTGACCCTCTCTCCTTAGGGCAGGAGTTTGAGGTTTTCCCTCAGGACCCAGGACGGGTGCGGCTGGTCCCCGGCGCACCAGCCCGCTGCTGCTGCTAAGGCCTGAACCGATTAGATCACTTGAACTAGAAATAGTAAAATATCAAAAATTGTAACAACAGCATGCCCCACAAAGAAATCATGTACTGAATACTCTTACTTAAAAGTAACAATTGAGTTGAATGTTGAATTTTAATTTCTGGGACACAGTTAGATAATTTCATAGTTAACAAACCAAAGTAGAATATTTTAAAGATTGAGTCATTTAGAGTATAGACTAAATCAACTGACACACAAAAAATTAAGTATTACTGATATAATTTATTTTATAAATCCCTTTTTAAAATAAATGTCTTACCATAATTAGTAGTCATAAATCTGTACTGTGCTCCATATAGATATAGATAATTTATAATTAATTACTCCTAGATAATTTGGTTGTTTTCATTTTTTCACCTAATTTTATTCCATTAATTCTAGTATTTTGGTAATTAAGATACAGTTTAAATAATCATAATTATAAAAATAATAATAACGTGTTATTTCTATATTTTTCTGAAGGTATACAAAATAAATGGAAAAGTTGAACCTAGAAGAAATTAATAAATTTAATGGAGTGTAAGCTTAATATAAATGGCATTTTAAATATGATGAACAGTTACATCTCTGCCTACCTTAATATCCATATGTTAATATTTCCATTTCCCCATTTCTTGGTTGATGCATTATATTAGATTATACAACTTTCTGGGCTCATAGTTTTAATAGATTTAATTTTGTTTAATAATCAATTACAATATGATATCTGCTCCATACCATAGGTATAGTAACTACTTTCAAAAATATGAAAATTGCCGAGGAGGAATACAGAAATGATTACAGAAATGTATGAATTATCAACTATACACTCATTTTAAATTATCATCATAATCTGTGAGCTTATGAAGAGGCAGAAAAATTATTAAATACTCTTTTAATCTTCTGTGTGTAAGAGAGACAGTGGGGTGGAGGATCAGAAAGAAACCAAAGCGAGGACAGATGAGGTGACATTAATGCATCCGTAAAAGCATATAAAATGTCTAAAATATCTGAATCAGGAAAATGTGATGAACTTTCCCTAGAAGTTATTATATCACTAAGATTTCATTATTTTGATGACATGCACTGTGTTAATTCAAATGCATTAAAATCATAAGTAACACTCGAATATATGAACCACACTTGTCGAAGTAAATGAACAAAATGTTATTTTGATGTAGGGCCCTTGAACTCCTTTATGGCATTGGTTTTGTTTACATTATAATTTTCAAAATTAAGTAATCTACACGGTTCCCTAGTGTGAATTAACAAGTAGCTCTCAATCAGTGTTTTACATTTTCTTCAGCAAGCCCATGGAAGCAGAAGGGGCCTGTTTGTTTTTGTTTTGTTTTTTTTCTTGTGGTATAAAATTACAGTAGACTGTAACTTTTCATGCTTTGCTATGAAGGCCATGTTTTCATAATATATATTATACTAGCATTCCCGAAGTTTTCTTTATGTATTCAACAAGAAGAAGGGAGCTGGGGAAGAGATTAACCAAAGAAGGTATATGCATATATGCATAAGCAATGGACACAGACAATAGTTCCAAGAAGGCCTGGGTGGGGCGGGAGCGGGGTGGAGGGGGTCGAGAGGGGGAAAAGGGAACATCTGTAATACTTTCAACACTAAAGATCAATTTTTTAAAAACTACATTCAGAATCAGTTCATCGTCACGAAGTGCAGGTTATTATATTCTCATGTATAATAAAGTCTTTTCGTTAAAGCTCCATCCTACGGTCTCGAGCCAGTTACTTACTGACACAGTCATGTGCACAAGCTGTAACTCTGCCTGGAGTTCCCTTGTCCCTCCGGTCACAACACAAAGGCTCAGTCTCCCGTCTCTTCATCTCTCACATGTGACAAACCTAAACTCTCTTCTCTCCCTTTGGAGGTGTGTTTCTTCATAACACAAGGAAGAGTCACCTAATGATTTCAATAAACAAAAACTTTTTCAAGAGGAACCCCAACCCATAGAGGCGAGCAGTCCACATGGGAAATGACACATCAAACATGCAAAAGGAGGCAGTCATTTCAACGACATGTGGGTCTTGCTTGCTTGTCATTATTTATTGGAAAAGCCAAATGTGCATCAATGTAGCATGTCGCTGGTTCCTAGGACTGGAGAGAATTGGAGGATGAACCGAAAGCGTAATCAGTAAAATATGTAAGAGTGGGCGGGACACCTGTTGCCATAGATTTAAAAAGCCATGTCTTCAAAGACGGCCTGAGAAGAACAAACACAAAAATACTAATCTATTGCTCTATTCTCAAAGCCACCAGAGAGAAGCTAGAACTAACAGGAATGATGATCCTGAACTAATTGGATTTTAAATCAAGATCAAAATGTAGCATGCATTATCCAGAAATGGAACCGTCTAATTCAGTGATTACGGGATGCGCTGCAGTAGACTCGGCCCCAACTCTCAGATTCAGGCCCCAGACCCACCCCCACGTCCCCTGGGACGGCACAGCCTGCTCTGGTTGTGCTGTTAGGAAGCTTCCGTCAATGCTTTGTTTCAATTTTTCATTCTCTCTTATCTTCTTTGTACACTTCCCTTTGATGAGTAGAGTTTGCAATCAATAAAATAAAATGGTATTTGTAGATACGATTTGGAAATTATTACAAACACTCTTGTTTCTGGTAAATTCGACGTTGAGTCTGGAAACTTTAACTCTTTATTTTTCTCCACACCATAAATCTCAGGAAAGGGCAAAATAAAAATAAGAAGAAAATAATTTATCATTCATCACAATGTGTGTGGAGAAATAAATAGATTAAAGGTAGGCTACCACTGAACTTCCAATAGAGAATGGAACTCTGGAACTGACTACACTTGACCACGAGTAAGGACCTGAAGTTGATTGTTGCTACAGTTTGGATAACAGGTTATAGAAGATGTTTTTTTCTTTCATTTCCAGACCTGGTGGCATTGGATGAGTGTAACATCAGGGAACCAATGGCAAGAAATGTAAGATTATTGCCCAGTGAACACCAAGTGCGCTTTAGCCTTCCCTTGGCTTTGACTCTATGCTAGAGACTGTCTGTTCTTTCCCTCTGCTTTGAAAGGACTCTTTATTCTTCTAAACGTATTCAGAAAGTCAGCTTATTATTTAAAAATGTAAGATTAGAAAACAAAAGGAAACGAATGTATTGGTTTGTGTTTAGATTTGGATTCTGTCCTATCTGTATTTAAATTTTTTTTTCTTTATTGATTTTAGAGAAAGGAAGAGAGAGAGAGACATCGATCGGCTGCCTCCTGCATGCTCCCCATTGGGGATCGGGCCCACAACCTGGGCATGTGCCCTGACCGGGAACTGAACTGGTGACCTCCTGGTGCATAGGTTGACGCTCAACCATGGAGCCACACCAGCTGGGCTGTCCTATCTGTATTTTAAAAGGATGCCATATGGCCCTGGCCGGTTTGGTTCAGCGATTAAAGCGTCGGCCTGCGGTCAGGAGAGAGACCTGGGTTCGGTTCCCGCTAAGGGCATGTACCTTGATTACAGTTTGTCCCCGGCCCCGGTTGGGTCATGTGGGTGGCAACCACTCGATGTGTCCCTTTCATGTCGATGTTTCTCTCTCTCTCTCTTCCTCTTTCTCCCTCCCAGTCTATCTGAACACACTATAAAAATAAAAAACACAACAAATGTCCTCGGGTGAGGATAATAAATAAATAAATAAATAAATAAATAAATAAATAAATGGATGCCATATGAAAGATCACACAGCCCCATGTAGAGAGCACCCCTTGGCTTTGGAGGGAACTAGGGTTGAGGCCTCCTGATTAGCTGTGTGACTTCAGGCCAGGTACTAAACTTCACCCAGACTCCGTGTTCTCTTCTGCAGAATGAGACTGATACTGAAACCTACATCATAGAGCTTCACTAAGATAAGAAACATCCATCTCTTAGCACGATGTGTGGCTCATGGTAAGTGTTCAGTAAATGTTCATCTTATGGTTATAATTCTGAGTATCAATTCAAATATGTAAAATCGTATGACTTTACTAGACAGACAACAGAACAACCAAATAATCCTCTTTCTATTTGGTGTCAACAGGGAAGAGTAGAAGTTTAAAAAAAATAGCATGGATTATTTGGGTGTATCACCCCCAGAAGGTGAGGCATTTTCCAAGGCAAGATTTACAGTTTGCAACGATGAACTAGAGGTTTGGAAATTTTCCCGGAGTTCATTGTTGTGGATGGTAAAGGTTAAAAAGAGCTAACATTGGCAGGCTTTAGGTTTGTAAACCAGGAAACCAAAATGTTCATTTCTATTGCGATCTATGCTTCCAGCCCCACTCGGGCGTCTTCTCTCCGTAGAGGCAACCACACCGAAGACCAGTTGTGATGGGAATGTTGCTCAGTGCGCGAACTCATTGCAATAGAGACATACGATTTCATGTTTAATGATTTAGCCTCAGAAGGGTCTAAGCATGTGCCTCCACAATCGACCGTGACTCCTGCGTCTCTGAGGACAGCAGCTTGGACTTCAGACCAGGCGCCTTCTCTTCCGCTCAGGGTACCAAAGTTAAGTTTCTGTGCCGTTCTGGCTGACCAGCCTCTTTCCTTTCCTTCTTTGTTGTTGTTGTTATTTTTTAGGGACTTGTTAACACATCCAGATTCTGTCAAGTATTGAGGGTAACTGTAGTACTTCGTCCTGTAACCCATTTGCTATTAGTTTTAGAAACTATCTCTTAGCCCAGCTGGTGTGACTCAATGGATTGAGTATCGTCCCAGGAACTGAGAGGTCCCGGTTCAATTTCTGATCAGGACACATGCCCAGGTTATGGCTTGATCGCCAGTAAGGAGCGTGCAGGAGGCAGCCAATGGACGTTCTCTCTCACATCGATGTTTCTATCTCTCTCTCCCTTACAAAATCGATTAAAAATTTTTTTAAAGCTCTCTTAGAGGAATTTTTCTTGCTGTCAATATTGGTGGGAACCGCTGTCTTGGACCTCATGCCAGCCAGTATAGCCCTGTGGTTAAAACTGTAGGCACTGGGACCAGACTGTCGGTTCACAACTTGATTCTGCTGCTAGCTAGCTATGTAACAATTCTCTGGTTACTTACCACTTCTATGCTATCCCTATATACAGTGCGCATTGTATATATGTATATAATAGAGCTGATGCTCAATGTACTAATGTACTTATCAACTGTATGTCAGGTATACATATCATCTCAGTTTCCAAAACTGTAAAATGGGATAATAGTATCCACCTCATAACTTTGTAGTACAGGCTCAATGAGGTACACATAAAAAGTGCACAGAACTGTGTCTGGTGCCTAGAAAATGCACGATGAATAATTCACTATTATTACATTCTTATTGTATCATTCAATAATTATTATCTCCAGAATTCTGTGAGAAGCTTGTCAGTCCATCTGTATAATGTTAAAACCATCCCTTTACAACCATGAACACTACCTCAGAACTCACTGCCTCAAAGAAGTAGAGTAACACCTTCCTTCTACGAAAATATCTTCACTGCATTACACCGCCTCATCGGTTCTTGTCATCTTGCATTTCTCTAGTCATTCGATTAATAGCTATTGAGCAGTCTATGATGTGCCTGAGACTATCAGCTACTGCGAACTGCAGTTTAGGTTTCAGGTCGTTCCTGACAATTTCTTGAGTTACTATTTTCATAATCAGGACAAAAAAATGCCCGCTCTTCCGGTGTACGAACTCAAACCATTGGCTTGCCAAGAAATACAGAGAAAGTAGTGCTGTTTTTCTAGACTTAAGTCCATGCTCCTGCCTTGATAATGTATTCTAATTTTGCTATTAATTCAGTACACGTAGTTATAAAACTTAGACTATCTGTATTAAGTCTTAAGGTTTCAGGGATAAATAAGTGGGTTGCCTTCGAAATTGGTCTCTTGGCTTATATGCATTGACAATGACTTAGGTCACTATATCCTTTTCCTATTGGCTCCAAGAGTTACAGTTCGGGAAGCAGAAGTACAGTATTGGGGCTTATCGTGTTTATAGCTTTCTGTCCTCCCAGGGGGAAAAAAATCCATTTTGTTGCCCTTCAGGGCCTGGTGCCCCGCCATGCTGAAAAACAAAGTGTTTATTAAACAAGAGCTGACTTCAGATTTAGGAGACATGTCTTTCCAGTGTCAAGGGAGGAACAGAGTTTTGAATTAACCTCTTGTCATAACAACTAGGAAACTGGACAAAATATTGGAAATAACTACTTTTACACTTTTAACAACAGACAACACAACACGCTGATCCCTGGGAGAATGGAATCAAAAGAAATGAGACATAGTTACCCGGGTTGTTTGACTAGAGAAAATTTCTAGACTGTAGCATGGTGTGGGAAAATCTGGATAGAGCCTGGAGGCCTTCCTGAGTGAAGAGGCAGCTAGAATTTGCAGAGCTTTTGCAGGAGAGTTATGCAATGAAGGCCTTAAAAATATGCAAAATAGTCTTCTTGAATCTTTAAGATCAACCTTTGTTGTGTAGAGTGAAACCCCAAGAGCACAGGCAAGAACAACTTCTGAAAAAAGAAGTTGGTTCCCACCAACTCCTGGGGAGCTGTGTAGTGAATACTTTCCTGAGTTTGCACAGGACCAGGAATTGAAATTCCTAGTAGCCTGGGTAGAGAAGCCTCCTTGAACACGCAGAACATGCAATTGAGGTGACCTAGGGGTCACACCTTAGAAGTGGGGCTAAATTAACCCTGGAAGAATAAATCAACCCTAAACCTACCCTAAAAGAACTTGCAAATTAGCTTCAAAGAATAGAGTGTTTTCACAAGTAAGTTTATTGCCTTCCAGAAAAAAGTTCAGTGCTCTTTATTGGAATACAACAAAATCCAGCACACAACCACATAAAAGCCACCACATATTAGATTTTGTTTAACTGTGTCATTATTTCAGGAAGTAAATATGGAATCATCAGCACTTTTACCAAATACTTGTACACATCCCAGGTGCATATTAAGGATGGACTTCCAACTGCACGTTAAAATGCGTTTACCCTGAACTCTTTCTTAATGCCACCATTGTGTTGATGCTCTAGACTGAGTTCTGCCATTGGCAACATCAGTGAGAACACGGAGCAGAGACTAGAGTCAACCCTACCTGGACATACTGCGTAAGTAAGAAATAATTTTCTTGCCTTAAACCTTAAGCTTTGTAGTGACTGTTTTCCTCAGTAGTATTTAGTCTATCTTTACTGATGGAATGGAACTAACTTAATGGAAAAGAACAATCATACAATTTCTAAACTTTAGGAAATGTTAGCATTTATGACTTATGTCAGCTTTTTCCAAGTCTGTTTCAGCATGTTTAGGGCACTTTGAGTTAAACAAAGTTAAGTGGGTTCCATATATTCAATACCTCTTTAGATCCTACAACCTGCTTTGGGCTCTCCAATTTAAGTCCATGTGATAAAGATATTTCCAAATTTTCTTGTCCACTGAATCTCTTTTTTTCCAAAAGTGTCACCAGCATTAGGGCTCTAAGGAATGCCCTTTGGGAAATGTTGAAGTAGTCCAGAGCCCTCATTATCCAAATCAGGTTAAACCTCCAAACTGAGGTTAACAGGTATTGTAGATATCATGAGACTAGAACTCAGGTTTCTTAATTCTCCGTTTTATGCTTTCTGCTACACACAATGGTGCATTACAGTAAAGAACTAAGATTACATTTTTCTCATGGGTAACTTTTTATAGAAAAATGATCACTGTAAAGATTTAAATCTCTCAAGATCTTGGATTTGCAGTCTTAAATGAAACTTATGACAGTGCAGAGCAAATTGTGTTTTGCAATGTGTACTTCATGAGAGTGAATCAGCATTGATAGAGGTACAGAATAATCAACTAAGCTGAACTTCAGATGAGTTGCATTGACAGCTAGCTCAGATGAGGTCACTTAAAAGCTCAAAGCCTCTTTCCAATGCCATACACAAATTCACCCTGAGCTCCTTCAAATGTGTCATAAATGCCCCTTTCTCAGGGAGGTCTTTCTGGAACTTTCTAGATGAAATAGCATATCCTCACCCTATCTCCCAGCTTGGGAACTCTCTATCCTTTCTCCCTGTTTTGTTTTCCTCCATAAACGTATGATCTTCTGATCTACACATGTTTTCCAT